GCACCTTTAAACTGTTTGATTTTTTCACTCATTTTTTCTCACAAGTGAGCTGGTTTAAAAATGTTATCTATTCCTATAATACAAATAGATTCTAAAAAAGCTTATAAACTAGATATATCTATTGCTTTGCATAAGATTTATTATCAACCTAATGGCTATCAAAGAACTGTAAAAAAATTGCATGAAGCTTCTCTAAAAGCAGGATATAATTTTTCTATTGATGAAATATGTGATTGGCTTGAAAAACAGGCTTTATATCAGATTCATAAACTATGTCTAAAGTTTATTTCTAGAGCCTCATTTAATAGTATACAGATTTCTAATGAATGCTATCAAGCAGATATTTTTTATATGCCTCATGATCGAATTAATAACAAAATATATAAATATTGTTTATATATAGTTGATGTTGCTTCCAGATATAAGTGGGCAGTTCTTTTAACAGATAAGACATCTAGTAGTGTTGCTAAAGCCTTTAAGAAAGTTTATAGTAATTCCAACTATCCTCTTACTTAGCCTAAATTATTAATGATTGATCCTAGTTCTGAATTTAAATCAGACTGTAAAGAATTAATAGAAAAACATAATGTCAAAATTAAGATTGGCACTTCTAAGAGAAGCCAGGCTATTGTTGAAAGATTTAATCATACTTTAGCTGAAAGATTGTTTCAATTACAGGATGCTTCAGATTTATTGTTACCTATCTCCAAAAGATCTAGAGCTTGGGTTAAAAATCTTTCTATTATTGTCAATGATCTTAATAATTCAGTAACTAGACTAATTGGTATGACCCCTGCTAAAGCTATAAAAATAAAACAAGTTATTGCTATATCTTCCAAATTACAAAATAGGCCTATAGCCTTTAATAAGTCTAAGCTATCATATAATATATCAGTAAGGTATTTGCTTAAACCTGGTGAGTTAGAAGGTAGATATATGCGAGCAACTGATATGAATTAGTCTCCACAAGTTTATTATATTCATAAAGCTTTGGTACAAAAAAATCAACCTATTTTATATTGGCTTGAAGATAAAGAGGGCAATAGACCAAAGCGGTCTTTTGTTAGAGAAGAAGTCCAAATTATTCATCCTAATACTGAATTACCTCCTCAGTGTGTGCTTACAAGTTAGATCCAAAAAAGAATCAAAGATTCACAATAAGAGATGTTTGTGAAATATTTCAAGTTGGTGTTCCTGGTCTTTTATAAAATTTTTTCTTTAAATAAATATTTTAATATATAAGTAAAAAAATGATTGGTGAATATATTTGTTCATTTTATCATAATTCTGGTGAAGTTTGTGGAAGAACCTGTATGTGTTCTGAAGGTTGTAGTTATTATTGGAAAGCTAAAAGAAGAGTACCTTGTACTAATTGTGAAAAGCCTACTGGTTCAACTTCTGGTCGATGTCCTTTACATATTTGAGGATATTATATTACCTAACATTATAATAGACTTCAATCAAATATACGAGAAAGAACTTATAATAAAATATTTGATATACTTCGATTAAATGTACAAGAAAAAACTTATGAGGAAATAATGAATACTCATAAAAATAGACTTGCAAAACTTAATATTGATCTTTGTAGAAGATGTTTATATCCAATAAAAGTGAAAGATAGAGAATATTGTGATAGTTGTCAACCTAGTTCAGTACTATAATAGATTACATACTAGAACTTCAAAAATAACTTCTTAATAAAAAAAAAATCAGGCATATATTTGCTACCCTTTACTATATATATAACGAAATTTTGTGACCCCTTATTGAAATTTTGTTACCCTTTAGTATATTTGGTTATATTTTTTGTTACCCTTTGTTATATATATACATATATTTTTTGTTACTCTTTTAGTATAATTGGGTCACATTTTTTGTGCCAGTAAGTAGTGAAGAATCAGCTTTAGAATGAATTCTGCTATAATAAATAATTTTGTTATCCTTTTTGTTATAAATTTGGGTAAATGAATGTGTTCTAGATATACAAAAATATTGATATACTGATTGGGATTTTTTATGCATAAATGATATCAAGTAAGATAATATAAATCATTGTTATCTTTTTGATATAAATTTGAGTAAAAGATTGCATTCTAGATATACAAAAAAATAATATTACTATGCTAGAATGATGATGCAAACATAAATTTATCGTCATTCGAGTGATGATGTAAGTGTAAATTTATCGTCATTTATTCATTTTGATATGAATTTGAGTAAATAAATATGTTCTAGATAGAAATCATTGATTTGACGATGCAAAAGTGAATTTATATGCAAGATTAATACTGGTAACAAAATTGTGCCAGAACTCCCTTTTTGTCTCTACTATTCTACTACTTTTTGATTTTGATACAAAATTCTCTGTTCCAGAGTTCTAGTAGGTATAGTATGTTAGTCTTAAATTCTGTATTGAGGTGCTCTATTTGTGTATCAAGAATTGCTCTTTCTAACTTATTTATACTTTGTCCTATATCTTTAGACTCTTTTCTAAATATTCTTTCTAGAACTTTGGCTCTGCTATATATTAGAGATTTTGTTGCTTCTTTTCTTATTTAACTTTTAGAATCTTGTATTTTTGTTAAAGGAATATACTTACTTGTTGCTACCTGTATTGCTTTAGCTATTAGTTCTCATTCTTCATCAATATCTATCTTAATCTCTGTTTTTAAATAGTTTTTTCCTCTTTTCTTTCTTTTTTCTGTGTTTCTGATAATCTTTTCTACTTCTTAACTGTAATTATACCAGTCTTCTTCTGTTGCCTTATAGTATTAGTATAATCTTCTTGTTTTTTTTTACCTCTTTCTGCTGCTCTGCTTATTTTTTTCTAGAATATCTATACTATCTAGTTAGATCCAAACAATTCCATGATCGCTATCTGTTACTGTTTCTATTGATTCTATATTACTATTTAAAATAAAGCTTCTCATATCTTGTATTGTTTAGATATGATTTATTCTGATTAATATATTTCTATTTGACTATGAATACTTAATTAGTTCTGAGTTGCAGAATCAAAAAGTTTCTATATAGTTAGTATTTTTTAACCATTTTGTAATTCTTATACCAGTATCTGTACTTCTCTTTTCTCTACTACTTATATCTAGTCTTGTACTTAATACTATATTAAAATCTCTTAATATTAAATAAACTATATTTTTCCTATTTTTGATAATTTCTTCTATTAGTATCTTGTGTATTTTATTCGTTACTTCTTTATTCTTAGAAGGTAAATATACTATCTAAACTTGAAAGGCTACTTTTTTGAAGAAAAATTTAGCCTTGAGTAGATATGAATTAAACTTTTTGCAGATTCTCATATTTCTTAGCTAATTCTGATCGACTAATAGCCTAATTCCTGATCCTTTATATTTTCTTTTTCTGCTTTTGTCTAAAAGTTTGAGAATTCATATTATTTTATATTTATTTACTTGCCTTCTTGTTCCCCTATATTAGTTTCTACTATTCTAATAATATTATATCCCTCTAACTTACTGTATTCTGCTAATAGTTCTACTTTTATATTATCTCCTTTAATTCTATTAATGTTATATGCACCTATTTTTATATACTCTTGCTTTTTATTTCTATTGCTCATATTATTTTTTCTTCTCTCTTTTACTACTACTCTTTCTGTTTGTAGACAGTTAGCTCTACTGTCTATTTCTATTAGTTCAACTGGTGTGTTTGTTAGAAGTGATTTAGAACTTCTTATTCCATATTTTGAATCTTTTTTTTAAAGCCTCTAATGAGTTGGAGCATATAATCCATTATACTTGTTGCT